CCCCAAAACCCCAAAACCCCAAAACCCCAGAAGAGATTTTAAAATGGAATATTTAAATATAAAAACTAAAATTGTGAAATTAAGCATGATAGATTTCTATTGAAAGATGCTGGGTTAAAGAATTCTTTATATTTAATCACTAGAATCACTGTAATCACTATCTTCTTCGTCATCCGAGCTATCGCTTTCCATTAAGTCCAGTGCCATTAGATCTGAGTCATCATCATCTGAGCTATTTTCTACAGAATAAGTAACTATTCTTACCTGGGACAGGACCTTGGTCAGTGTCTATTCCTCCACAAGACTTTATTGCGTACAGAATCTTCTGGCTGCATACTTCATCAGTTGAATATTTTGGCAGATCAAACTGGAAATAACATGTATGAGCTTGAGGGAATCTATCGTCAGGATTATTATGTCTATAATTGTCAGCTAGCAGTATCTTGAAATTTTGATTATTCAATCGTTCGGGAGGAGGAAGTCTTGCTCTTCCCCAGACAAACTTTAGGAACATTCATCTTTCCTGATTTGAGAAAGCATCGAATACTCTCCAAAATCTTTGAATATATTCATTATCTGCTGATCAATTTGAATAATAAGTTATCGATTTCAGTATATCAGAAGATATTACAGAAGGACCAGTCACTCTTTGCTCAAAGTATCGACTATCCAAGATTTTCAAGCAACTTGTTGGCATTATTACTTCGAATCCTTCTTTTACCATCTCAAATTGCTTGCTGAATTCGTTTATTCTAGCTTCAATCACCTTTTGATGATATTCATCAGTCTCTTCATAAAGAACTTTTCTTTCATGTCCTTTTGGACAGAGAGAAATAGTTTCTCCATTTGATAACTGAGTGGTCCAACTCATGTCCATTGAAGATTCAAATTCTTCTTTTGTAGTCTATAAATTATGAATTATTCCTTACAATAGCTTTCATATTTTCGACTTCTCTGATTAGTTGGACTGCATATGCATCTGAATACTCAAGGTCTTTGATTGTGATTTCTTCGTTTGTAAATTTCTTCCAGAATATTGATGGGAGCTTCATGTCCATAACTTGGCCTGCTCTAAAAGCCATTCCTAGAAGAGCTCCCATGAATTTATACATTTCTAAATGAGTTGGACTGGTTGCAGCTGGATTTACGGTCCATAAATCTCTACCAAATCCATGATCATTCTTGTTATTCTGAGTAGGAATTAAGAGCGGTAGATATTGACTGTGTAACTCATCAGTCATATTACTGATAGTTTCTCTGTATGGGCCTCCATCGTCAATACTTCCTTCTCCTACAAACTTAGCGCTCCATGCTTTCTGCTGAGGGCTATTCACTCAGAGATTTTCATATCCGCTTTCCATGCATTTTCTCATGGTTGTGGCAAAGATTGTCCATTGAGCATCATCATCTACAATTCCTTTGTCTTTATAAATATATCAACTTTATAAATACCTTTATTTTCTTGAGTAGTGATTCTGTGATAAGTAACCTCTTTTTCATCGAAACTTCTTGGTAAGGAGTCTATAATTTTCAGCAAATAATCATTCTTTGTTTTGTTAAACATCTTTGATTTATTTTTCAACAAACTAGTTGAAAGGAAGCAGTTTGGACCTTCTCTGTCATTCATTGAAGCATCTTTCAAAATGGCATCTTCAGTAATAACCCATCTTAGAGCCTTGACTATATTGTGATTGAATAGCATCATCGTGTTAATCTTTGTCTGAATTATTTCTTTTGAATTCTCTCCTTTCTATATTAAAATTACGTTGAGTATTCCAAATTTAGTCACTTATGAGGATATTTAGTCATTTCATCCAAACATCCTAATAAAATATAACTCCCAGCAAACTTTTTATGCAAGGTGATCAATAATATCACCAAGTGTAAATATTTCTAGTAATTTCCTAAGTTTTGTTGATAAATACTACTCTACACACTTTCTGATTTTCTTAAAATACCAGCTTGATTAATGAAATGTTACAATTTGTTAGAGATTTATTTGAAACTATTTCGAACTGTTGCATTTCTAAGTGCTCTGAGGAGTTTAAATGATCATAAACTTAGGAATTTATAGATGTATGAGTATTATATTGAAAATAAAATTTACTCAAATAAAAATTTACATACCTTTTCTAAAGAGTCAATAAAATCTTTGAGCAGCTTGGAAGTGATCTCAAGGTCGTTATATTCAACCTCAGGAGGAGAATTCGAGAAGAGAGTTATGCGTCTTTTTATAAGATATTTATCTATCTCGTTCTTTAATTCTTGTTCTAGTGCTTCATCGAAGGACTCAACATCGTTTAGAATCTTGTTGTAGCTATCTAATAATAGTTGTGTTGCTTTTTCGTTTGGCTCATAACTGTAATCAGGAATTATTTCGAGGTTAATTGCGCTCTCGTTCTCTTGCTTGAAATAGTCGGAAAGCACTATTCTAGGTAGATTGGAGCCTTTTCTGAATGGTCTTCCAAATCTGTAGAATATCAAAGGGTTCATATCATGAGTTTCTGGCTTGAATATATCCTCTTCGTTACTGTGAATTCCTGGAATCGAGGCATTTGTCTGATCTTTCTCTTGGTCATGCTTCTTTTCTTCTTCTAATTTTTCATATTGCTCTTTTTGTTGATGATTAAAGTAGCAATAAGAAGTATACTGAGGTTTAAAATCAAGTGAAAGTCTTGATTCAAACATCTTATATTCATCCAAGACAGGCCAAACTCTGTTAGGAATATTTTGAATATAGTTCTTAGTAACATATCATATGTCTGGAATATCTATGGCATCATGCTCTTCATCCCCTCGTTCTCTGAGTATTTTATAGCCTTTTTCAGAAAGGTAGAGCCATTCATTTCCCTATATTATTAATGTCATATTTTACTTGTTTCCAAAAATGCATTGTGCCAATGATAGGCATTTGCTTGGTCACCACTCATTGGTAGTCATAATGAATTTGTCCAATAGGGTAATTTATTTCATCTGGCTCTGTTGAAATAAAGAAGGTGTCTTCTCCTAGTTCTATCCATCTACAGTTAAATTTAGAGGACTATTCTTTGTGCAGATTATTTGTATTTTTCATATTAATTATAGTGTATTATTAAGGAATAATCAGTTTGTGGAAAGTAAAAAAAGTGAGTGATGTTTCTTACTTGTATTTTTGATCTTGATAAGGTTCCAGCAAATCTCCTTCTGAATTATTTTGAACAGACTCAATCATTTCTGTAATGTTTAATTGAGTAATTAGCATAAGTAATGGAAAATTTTATCTATTAAGGAATTCTCTAAAGCTGCAAAAGGAACTTTTAATCATTAAAAATAGTCTGTCAAATTACCAGTATTTCCTTTAAGAAGAAGCTGCTTTCTCTGAATTTCCTCATTCTTATTTGAAAAGACTACCAAAGCCATGTTCATTCCACATTTGACCTCGTGAACAACTTTGTCCTATAATAAAAATGTGAGATTCATCTAATCATATTTTTAGTAGAATATTATTTGTGGGGTCTCATCCGGATTCATTATTTTATAATTACTTACTGTCATCTCGTTATATTCTATCAGTGTGGGGGAAGAAAAATATTTAATGTCTTCACCTTCATCAAGTGTTTGAAACTCATTTGATCCCCATCCGTAAAGTTCTGATCTATCTGTAATAGCCATTGCCCAGTTGCCATAGCAGCTGACAAAAGTGAAATTTATGCTGTTACAGTCATATTGTAGAGGAGCAAATCCAAAGGATTTGTAAATGCCCTCACCTTGGCCAAGGAGATAAGAAGGGCTATTTCCACAAGACCAGAGTTCATTTTTACCTTTGTTCTGAACAAGCATTATACAGCAGTTCTTGCTTTCCCTGGATTTTCATGGAAAAGGTTTGATTGGGACTATGTCTTTGGGGAAGTAAATTTCATAAAACTCTCCATCATTTCCATCTTGATTGAAAAACTGTAGGAAATCTTTTCCAGAAGCATATCATCTTCCTCCGCTTGTGGTATAAATGATATAATCATATCCGATATCGAAATGTAGGACTATCCCATCATCTCTGTCTGGTCTTGGTTTATACTTCAATTCTCTAACTCAAAGACTCTCATCATTAAACTTGCTGAAGACTTCATCCCCAAAAAGTTGTTTATTTTGGTTGATTCCTTGGAAATAAAACTTTGTATTATCTATCAAAATGCCAAAATTGTAATGACCAGCTCTAATGTCAGTTATTTCACCATTAGGTACTTTCCCTGGATAGATTTGCATATCTTTGTAAGATTCACTCCATCAATAATTCGTGCCACATACGTAAAGATCATTATTATTAGAAAGAGCTATAGTATAGTCTTTAGCCTGTCTGAGCATCTTGATTCTAACATTCTGGTTGTTCATTGGAATGAATCCCTTTGAATAGCCTTGGTGTTGTCCATTTCCCAATCTGTAACCTTCTCAGCTTCCAAAACAGTTAATAAAGGATGGGGTTGGATCAACTGAGTAAGGATAATGAAAGTAGAAATTGTTACTGTTAATATACACTTCTGTTGTTTTCCAACTCAACTCAGAAGTATCAATTAATCTTATTGGAAATTCTCCTTCAGGGTCTTTAGATATTAACATATGAGATCCTTTCAAATGCTCTATATTAGGCTTCAAAGTAATCGATAGTTTTTGGACATCTTTGAAAGTATGTTTAGAGACTATCTTATGGTCAAACCTAGGATTTGCAGTTTCCATACTGAATGAGACATTCTCAAATTCTTTTAGTCTTTTTTTGTTATAGAACTCTAGATAACTTAAGAATTGTGAATCCTCCTGCTTCAATATTCTTGTAGATAGCTCTAAAGCAAGAAGCAAGTTTGGATAAGTATAGATGGAAGTAATATCAGGATGTTTTCTGTCAATAATTTTGATCATAAGCATTATCTCAATGAAAATTTTCTGTTTAATATCAACCTTGCTATTATCGTACTCGTTAAACTGGGACAATTTTTCTAAAGATTATCTTTGAATTTTACTGAGTAGTTGATCTATGACTTTATTTTGCAATATTCCTTTAATCACTGGTGTATCTTCTGGCTCTTCATTTTTTGTCAAGTACTCAAGAATGATCTTGGCTAAGGAAGTATAGGATTTAACTACCAAAGGTTCATCGTCTTCAAAAAGGGTGATTAAGTAAGGCAGAATCTCGATTAAATTTTTATAAATTGTCTGATTCAGGACTCTCATCGTTCCATCTAAGGATTTAGAGATTATTTCAAGGATTTCAGGTAAGAAATACAGATTAAATCATCCTAAAAACTTCGGATTATCAGCAAGAAAATCTCGGATTGTTTTATAACCTTCCTGCTTGCACTTCTGGAGAGAATTTGAAGCTCCTGAAAATATTTGTGACAGTAGATTTCATAAGAATGGCTTAGACTGTTTATTCTGCGAGTAAGCAGAATTAATCTTTGAGAAAACCTTCAAGAACAATCCACCTTCTGGATCTTCTTGATTGGATTTCTCTGAGTAGGAATCTTCATTTGATAGTTTTAAAAGATAGTTTACAATCCCTCTTTGATTCTGTCTATTTTCAAAGATAAGCTCTCAAATGTCTTCTTCTGGAAGTTTGAGGATAAGTACTGAAAGAATTCTACTACAGAGTTTTGAGTAATACATTTTAAGCATTGATATGTACTCTTGGCTTAAATTTTGGGGATGATCTCAATAAATTGCTTCGAATATGGTTTTCTTAGAGTTATTTTTGGTTTTCTTTTCGGTTTTCATCGATTTTGCCCAGATCAATTGATTTGTTATCATCCAGTTTTTCTCTAAAACTTTGAAGTGTGAAATCTAAAATATCTCCTACGTCTAAATCGTCGGCGTCAATATCATCGTCAGAAGGAATATATAATATTTCATCGTGATAATCTGAGTATTTCTCTTCCTCAATTACATTCTTGTCGAGTTCATTGTAACAGTTGAGATGATTTATTTTCTGAGTTAAACTTTGCCTTTCAGAATTGTCAATATGCTCTAAAAATATTTTTAGTTAACTTAGTAATATTTTAAGAAGATTATATGGCAATGAATTAACAATGAAAAAATCAACATTCATGAACAAGGCAAATTATTTCAGAATATATTTAAGAACACAAGAATTCAAGAAGTCACAGAACTTTGATATCATTGAAAATATTAGCAACAAATCCAAGATGACTTACTGCTTTCTCAAATATCAGGCCAAGAATCCTTAATAAATCCTGAACTTTTCCTATCAAAGCTTGTTTCTTGGGCCTGGTGGGGTAAATTTATGGCAATCGACTCTTCATCCAACCCTTCATCTAACTTCTCATTTATTCTTTCTTCACCAGCCGGGTCACATTCTTGTTGGCAACTCAATTTCTTCAGTAAATAAACTCTTTGCTCAATATGCTCCAATTTTTTCACCACATTTGAGCCTCAGGACATTTTCTGGCATTCCGATATTAGAACAATAATAAATCTGCTTATTATTTTGTGTATGGAGCTCTCTGAGACTTTGGTCAGGAAAGTTGAGCTATATAGTGGGTTATGAAAGCCAACAGTAGGTAATAATGAGGTTAGATAGGTGGACAGATTTTTGGAGTCTGGGAGAAATTTAGATGATATTTTAATAATTTTAACTTTATTAGAGAGCAGCATATTGGGCTTTTACTAGGAATCATTAATGATTAGTAATATTTAAAATCTATTTATATAGGCTTAAGAAATTTCCCTCAAGAATTGTAAATTTTGTTTTAATTATTCTCTATCTTATAAAGAAGCAGAAAATATGTTGTTTATATTCAAAACATACTCCTTGAGAATATTTATATTTTATCAAAAATAAGAAATACGAAAAGATCATGTGATTTGTAGCTTACTTTTCAATATTTGCAAGGATTATCTTAAGAGTAGTGCATCTTTTTGTAAGAGTATCTCTATCAGTGTAATCAAGGTTTGACTCTTCCATCACTAAATCAATAAATTTTAAAAGAATTGGCTCTTCTGATAGAAAATTATCACTGACTTCATTCATGTTAGGAGTAAGGGTGACATCAGTTATGTGTTCTAAAAATAGATCATTTCTCTCTAAATTAGTGCTATCAAAGAGTATTCCAAAGATATAATCTTTGCTCTCAAGAGGTTCTCATGATATATTCTTATCACTATCATTGAAATACTTTAGCATAGATTCTTCACTGACACAAGGAATTTTGAACTTGCTATCAACAAAGCCAATAGCTGTAAATTTTCTGCCGCTTTTGGTGATACCTTGGGCTCCAATGTTCATTCCAAGGTACTCCCCTCCTTCAAATAAGCATGTAATGGTATCAAATTCTTCTATTGAGTAGGAATCAATTTGTGTGAGGAAGGTTTCCACAACTCTTTCAAGTTGATTTCTCCAAATCTGATGTTTTCCAGACTGACAAATTTCTCTAATAAATCTTACTATCGCACAACTTGTGATATATTTATCCTTGAAGTCTGTTTTCTTCCTTCCTCATTGGTTGGATCTAATCAGAAGGAGAAGGTTGAACAGGAATTGGAGGAAGGTACAGTCACCGAAATCAACCTTTGTCAATACTGTCATTACTTTATGAACCCAGTTATGATCTTCATTGTTTTTAAAAGCCTGATCGAAGAGAGTAGTCTCAACTTCTGCTTCAAGAAGGTCTGAAAGAATTTTTAAGGCAAGAATTGTATGTCTTGCAACACTAAATTTTAAGATGTATGAGCAGAATTGAAGAACGTGATTTGGCTGTGTGTTTTTCCTAAGAGATACTTGGAATCTTTCGTTATGGATTGCTAAAGAAGTTATAAGTTCTACTAGTCTCAATAGTTTTAGAATAACGGTTCTATCATATTCTATCTCAATAATATCATCTTCAATATCGTCGATGTCAAAAGATTGGCTTCAGTCGAAGTTATTTTGATCGCCATGGATTTTGTTCTCCAAAGTAGGAAATTCTTTGCTCTCTTCAAATTTCTTTGAAACTGAAGTCTTCTTTTCAGTTACTTCACTTAACTTAATAAAGATTATTTCAAATAATGATTGAGTGAGAGCTTCATAGGAACTTGTAGCCATCAGAGATTGAGCTCTATTAATCTTACTGAGTGGAGAATTATTGTTCAATGCTTCTACACTTTTACTTTGATCTTGTTCTAATATTCTTGAGAATATCGAAATCATAATGAACTCAAATGCATCGAATACAATATGAGAAAGAGTCCTGTTTTGTATGTCTACAGTAAATTCTATTGGCTTTCCCCAACTAAATTTTATGGGGTTGTCTTGATCCATTAGGCCATTTCCATTCTTCAGAAGTTGAATTACCCCACTATCTAGAATATTTTGATGGTCCGATGCCCCAATCCTCCATTTCATTCAATCAAATAAGTACTTGATGTCATTCTTTTCTCTTGTATCTTTGAGAGACTTGATAATTTCATTGTATACTTTGAAAAAGGCATGCTTGATTTTAGTCAGTAAGTGCGCTCCAACTCCATTTAAGTTGTCTGTATAGTGAGCCATGCCATCAGAATGCTTTCTTAAGGCAGTACAGAACCAGCTGTATCATCCTTTTTGAGCATCAATGGGCAATTTGAGTTGGCATATTTTGACCATCATTTTCAATCCTCAATATCTATTGAGAGCACTTATGTATTTCGATTCAATCATTTTTATGATTTTTAGAGCAGTTGCATTTCACTGAAGTGTCGCGAGCACAGATGATGAGCATGATGAAAATATCTCTTTATTTGAAACGTTCTCGTAATTTGGAATTGTTCCAGAAGAAATTTGAATACTTTTAATTCTTTGTAAAACATCAGAAGTGCTCTTTCGGTCAATTTTATTTAGGTCGTTATTATATCTACCGACCTGTACTAAGTTTTTATCAGAAAAATCTGATTGTCTCCATGATTTAGGAGTCGCAAGTTTTACTAACAACTTTGCTTTATCTTGTACCTTCTTCACTAAGTCAGATATTCTTTCTTTCTCAATCTCGAAGATTTGATCTTCGGATGGCCCTTGATATGCATCAGCATCATCTCTTCTTGTAGATGTATCAATTTTCTCTTCTTCTTTATTTGATTCCTCTTCAATGCTGTTTCTAGTGCCAAATTCTTTCTGAACTCTATTTGAGATATCCGTTTTCTTCTCTTGGAGCCAGACTCTCATTTTGGTTGCAATCTTCCATCTGTCAAGTATCCCACTGATATCTCCTAAGCTCTGGAGTTCTTCGATACATTCATTGTTTCGTTGATTTAGAGGCATGCTTTCATCTCATTCAGAGAAGAATATCTCTATTTGGTCAATCAGAGTGCTGAGATTTGTGTAGTTTCATACTTCATCATATCTGTTTAAAGCTAGATTTGCTGCAAATGCACATCTAGAGACTGCCATTCCTTGTGCCCCTCCTGCTTTAGCAGCAGGGTTCTTTCTGAGAAGATCCCATTGGAGAAGATTTATAAATGTATCTACTCATTTATCTACTCCATCATGAATAATAGCCTCCATCAGGCTATTTTCTTCATCAAGGTCAGTATTTTCGATGTAGCTGACTATTTGGGAATCATCAGCAAATCCAGCAAGATGCTTGATGATAATACAAGCTTGTGGGCTAAAATTTGAGAGGAATTTAGTATGTATACCTCCAGAAAAGATATTCCCCTTCAATAGAAGCTTGACAACTTGATCTTCATCAGATTTCGAAGAACTTTCTGTTATCTCTATCAAATCATATGACATTTTTCATAGAGAATTTAACAACTGAAGCATTAGATCTTCTTCGAGACATTCTATAAGGGTGAAATGATCTGTTTTAGTATCAAGTTTCAGCACTTTGGACTTCAAATAGACTCTATGATGTCAAAATTTGCAAACTTACTGGCTGAATTGTAGAATGCTATCTATTAAATCGAGGGAACTATTAAAGAAAGAGCTCAATGAATGTGTCATTATTGCTTTCCTCTCAGAGATCATGATGCTAATCAGGGCATTTATAATGAACATTGATTTGCTTCCATTGACTACAATGTCGGAAAGATTCTCTTGGTATGACAAATATTGCTCTTCTAATCTATCCTCAAGGCTACTTTCTAAATTATTGTCTGATTTTATTTGGGAGATCTGCTTTAAGACATCATCAAAGGATTCTGCAGCAGAAGTGATAATTGATTGTAAGCTTTTGCTAAGTTGCTCGTAGATTATGGAGAAAAGTTTCATTTTCTCTTCAATTTTTAGTTGTTCTTCCTGAACTTCTTGGTCATTTCTCTTTGGATCCTTTGGTTTTGAGGTAAAGTTATGTTTGAATATGTGAGTTAAAGTCTTTTTAATGTAACACGTGACAAAGAGCTCTCAGGAATCTTCAAATTTTGTGCTTTTGATTTGTGTGAATTTGCTTTGAAGGGTCAGATTTTCCAACTCAGATCAAATTTTAGCCGAAACAATGTCACATCAAACTCAAAAGATTTTTAAAAGAACAGTGTTTTCTATAATGTCTTCAAAAGAATCTCATGTAGTGAGGTAATTTAAGTAAATCATTTGAGAGTCCCCATGTTGTCCTTTTTCAAGTTCTTCTAGAGTATTTTGCAATTTCTGTGTGACTTTATCTTGATTGTCTAATATCATGTTGGAGAGTGAATTTTGGATCTCCACTCATTGAGTATTTATATTTTTCCAGATAATTTGAATTTCAGAGCTAGAAGTTATTCCAGAAATTACCTATTATCATCAGAAGAAATATTAAAACCTTGAATAATTCTCTGTGGAATACTAGTCACAAAGAAAGTGACAAGTTCAATGAATCTGTCTCTAATCTCAAAATATTTGACAAGTTCTTCTAATCTGATTTTGAGCTTCTCAAGTGATATGAACATTTTAGATACAGCTCAGAGAATCCAGAGAAGCTCATATTGCTGTAGAATGTTTTCATCATTCATTTCTTGGTCAAGAAAGTCTGTAAATCTTTCCATTGCTTTTATTAGCTCCTTAATGAAAGTCATTGTGATGGACACACCGTGCTGGCATCTGTATAATCGGGTTTGAGTTGTAAGATGCTCATCATCAAAATTTAGAAAATTTAGCTTCTGAATATCTGCATCCATGTTCTCACATCCTTTAGATATAATGTACATAATGAGGTACAATGAAAGCTCTTCCATTTCATTCTCAGGGTAATTAGGATCTAAATATGAGATTTAATAAATTACTGATAATTAATTCCTGAATAGATCTATTCTCAAGTCTTTTGAGGAAATTTTCGAAATTTCTTCTTTCAATCTTTGTTTCAATTCTTTGGCTTTTCATGATATCCTGAACTCTTTTGTGAGCATAGTTGTTTGAATTGTTCTGAGATGATTGTTTGATCTCATCTATGCTTCTAAAGCCTTCAATTTTGAAACTCTTGAGAATAGCGTTATCTTCATTATCTTTCCATGTCCAGAATGTGTTAGTGAAAGGGTCATATCCTCCACCTTTGTTATTTGGAACTTCTATGGTGGTTTTATACCTGTTGCCAGTTTCTAGATCAAAGAAGTACATTTTCCCTTGAGCTGTTATGGCTAGAATTTCACTATTTGTCCCTATCATTGATTTATTTGAAATTTCCTTCAGAGCAATACTTTTTGATAGTCTCAGTATCCTGAGATACTCTTTTTTGCTCTTCAGGTGGCATACTCTCTTGGTTAATTGGCTCGTAATTCAGTTTAGTTTTTCTAATGAAATTCCAAGTATCGGGATCATATCTTTCTATTTCAATATGCGATACTTCCTCCAGCATTTGATTATCTTTAACCTCTAAGTAAGGTGCGAGAATATAAAGTAAATCTCCATCTGTAAAAAATTGGGCATAATATATCCATCTGAAGCTGTTGTGTCTTCTTTTTGAAATCTCCTCTTCTAGCAAAGCCTCATCAAATCTTTCGATGATTGGTTTATTCCAAGAATCTATCAGAGATTTTCGTTCTGTCTGTGATGTTAATCGATTTATTTCCTCTTTGGATGTTGGTTGGAGGGTGGTAAGTTTTAGTATTTCCAACGGTTTTCCTTCCTCGCACTCAATTTTTCTGTAATATAGTTTATCTCTTATAAATGCAATTGTATTATGTAAACCGTCAGAAGGTATTTCTTCTCGTCAGTAAATATACCCTGGGCAAACTCCTAATGAAGACTTGTAGCCAATCTTATAAACAGCGTTATTTTTATTCCATAAGTACATGTATTTTTCATCAAATGTTAGCTTGTAAGCACTATTTTTTCAAATTGTCTTTTTAGGATAATCGAATATTTCAAAATCTTTGCCTTCCTTATATTCCAAGACTGTATCAAATTTTTCTTGTCTCTTTTGAGGTGTTTCCTCATCTCAACCAGTATCTTGAGGTGGCATGGCCTATAAAAAGTTAGACACATAAAATCCAATATAACTAGTGGTTATAGCTTACTTGATCACTCACTTTAAGTTTTTGGCAAATCTTTTGTAAGTAAGGGTGCCTAATCAACTCTGGGAATAAGTTAAGCTTTAACTTTTTCTTCCATATGAGATTATATGCAACCAAATAGTCTTCTCCAGAGGCTCTTAGGTTTCCTATATAAGTATAATGTTTCTGATAGCCATGCTGGTCACAAGATTTTTCTGCTGTTCCGACTGGGTAGGAACTTTCTTTCTTCAGATCTTCACAAGGTAGTTCAAGTACTTGTTATATTCCTCTTCTTGAATATAGAATTTATACTCATCTGGTCTCAGTCCTGATGCCTTCTGGTTTATCAAAAAGGTGTATAGGCGCTTTAGAGCCATCTCTTGGGACTCAATAGAGAGTTCAGTCAATTCTTCAATGTAGAAGAGCTGAAGAGGAGGGATTCCTGTGGATAATCCTGCTCGGATCAGCACTAAAAATATCAAAAAGAGTATACCTTGTTCTTGGTCCTCTAGTTTATCTGCCAGAGCTTTATGAAAGCTGAAGTTGCTTTCCTTCTTGGTTGTGCACAGAACATTCATGTACTATTGATTTATAACCAATACTTACACTGTAGATGAGGAAGCATACCTCGTACTGCCTTTTGAAGAAATATTCTGGATCATTTCCTCATTGATCAATTTTGTCCAGATGGAAAACTGTATAAATTTTATTTTCAGATAAAATTTCTTAACGAAATATTTGAACATCTAAGGTTCTGAGCTGTTTAGATATTTAGGAGTAAGATCTTAGAGTGAAGAGGAGAAGTGTTTGATTACCTTTATCCTCAATAGATTTGGTTAAATGCTCGGATGTTCAGAATCCAGCTTTGTACAGTTCGTTTATCTCAGCGAACAAGTTCTTTTCAGCAATATTGTCTTTTTGTTTTTCAAGATTTTTATTTCTAAATAAATTTTATTTTTCATAATTTTCTGAAAATTTTAATCCAAAAATTCCTCGAGAATCTTCGCACTTTTACAGATATTTTAAAGTTGAAAGAATTCAGTTTGAAGAAGATAATACTGTATCAAAAAATTGATGAATTGGCAAGTTGACATAAACATAGCATCAAAACATTTTCGTTGAAGACCAAATAAATTCTAAAATAAAGAAGCTATGAAACATCTAAAGATGTATTTTAAATAATCTAACTATCTTTCTTAACATTTAAAGCAACAATTACTCTTAATCCTACCTCTCAACTCCTTTAATACCCCAAAAAACCACTCCCACCCTTTCCCTACCCCTCAAATTCTCCCCTCACCCCCCCTGCACTCCACAACCCCTCACTTACAAATACTGTTCAAAAACCTCCTTAAAATCTTCTTCACTTGCTCCTCTGACCTTCCCTATATCCACTTCAACCCTCTTCCAACTCCCCCAAAACCCTATCACAATTCCCCTTCCACCTCTTCCCATTCCTACTTTCCCAACACCCTCTCTAAGTACAGCCAAACCCTCAAAACCCCTGTTCTAAAGTTACCTCTGACTCAGCTTGAGAAGTCTCTGTAGCTTCTTTGGAGTGTAGCCTCAAGTGTGTGGGTCGTGAAGTTCAGTGGGGGGTCAGTGGATTCGGCTCTTTTTGTGATCGAGTGGTTGCCCATGATTGAAGTTTTGTAGGATATTATTATATGTTGGGATTGTTTTGGGGTTTTGGGGTTTTGGGGTTTTGGGGTTTTGGG